AAAGTCATTACTGGAGAAGGAGCCTGTGGACATCTAAAGAAATTCCTTAGAAGATGCTTAAGTTGGCAGCTTTTCCTTATTTTGCTGACAGAGACTACATCAATTCCTTTTCTCCCTCTTCATCTTATTATTTTTAACTACATAAAACACTTCATTGCAAGAAAATCAGAAAATTCAGATGTAAACAAAATCACTCACATTCCCCTCATTCAGAGAGACAACTATTATTTCATTTTAGTTTCTTTCCTATCAACATACATACATGCTTATTATTATTTTATATGACTAATATAATCTTGGTTTGCATCCTCCTCTTTATTATTATGTAATATGTTATGAGTATCTTTCCATGCCCATAAATATAGATTGATCTCATTTTGAATGTCTGCATACTATTGCATTACATTAGAAAGATATCTTGTAATTTATTTAGTCCAATTGCTACACACTTAGATTGGTTCTAATGTTTTATTATTGTAAGCAAAGCTAAGCTAAACATTCTGGCACTAAATATTTGCACTTATTTGCCCTTTATTTCCTAAAAGTAGCACTTGTAAATTATATAACATAATTTATCTGTTATTATTATATAGCCATAATAATCACACATATGTATTTCAGTCTCAAAATGAAGTATTTTCTTTTCTCCCTTTTCTTTCCCTTGGTGGGAAATATCTTTGGAAAAAACAGACGTAAAAGGAGTATTTTTAGACGTAAGAATATGTCAACATTATAATGTGAGAATTATTTGATCATTAAATTTCAACTGGCTTCCATACATTTGACTTGGAATCAGCAGTGTTCAATTAAATATAAAACATTATCAATTTTAAGATGCACCTCTATTTTATATAAAATCATGAGGGAAAAATAAAAACTCTTCCAATGAAGTTTCAACCCAATGCTTTAATAGTCCCTCAGAATACCCTGATTGTTCATATTATTCCTAATTTGAAATTCTTTTTCATCTATTCTGAAGGGTTTGGCAATTTCTCTTGCCTCCTGTTTCCTGGCTTACTGTATAATAAGAATTTTTTGACATATATTTCAGTAACAAAATGTAACATAGCTCATCTATTTCTGTTTTTTTTTTCCTTTTTAAGGGTTCAACAAAGATCTGGTGGTCACCTTGCAAAGAAAATAAAAAACTAGAATTATTACCCCAAAGACAAGAATTCACTTCACTAGCATCAAATTTCCACAATGCTGCTCTCTGTCTACAGAGACTTCCCACTTCAGTACCAAATCATATCACTGAATAATCTGTTTGAAGACATATTAAGTGGTGATTAAAATCAATATGTGAAGTAAGAGCAATGTGCATAACATGGCTAAAGTGGTGACAGTATGAACAACCATGACCCATCTACTTGGGTCCAGGGAACAAAGCTCCATTTTTTATGCTGGCCGGCTGACAGTGAACTGTAAAACACATCTTCAACACCAAGGAGGTTAAAATTAGAAAACTATGCATATTAAAATCAACATAATGTGATTAGTATGAGCCTCAACTAATTAAGATAAAAATGAAAGGATTATCAATAAAATATGTCAATAATTATGTCTCATTTCAGTTAGTTAAGCCTATTCCTCAGAGTAGCTATGAGACAAAAAATAGATCTATTAATCCATCACCTGGTACCTATCACCACCTGCCCCTCAGAGACAGGACATCTTTGCCACACCAGCAAATATACACAGTCATACACATACTTTAAACTGATGATTTGATAGACAGACAGACAGACAGACAGAGAATATGTAGAAATAGATGCTCTGTATAAAACCTCAACATAATTCCCAAACACAAACACAAGAAACTTCAAAAAGCCCACCTTTGAATATAAGAAATTTTGGGGAGACATTTTGGATCTAATAGCAGCCTTCTGGACAATGTGGTATTTATAGCAGGATGACTATCAAAATTTGAACATGATTTGTCTCCCTCCAAAACTCATATTGAAATTTAATTGCGTGCTAGCATGGGAGGTGGGACTTTTAAGAGGAGATTAGGTTATAAGAAAGGATTTCTTCTATGGTTTAAATGTAGTTGGTCCCAATCCAGCATGGTAGTATTGGGAGGGGGGCCTAGTAGGAGGTGTTTTGGCAATTGGGGTGGAACCTCAATAAACAGATCAATGCAATCCCTCAGAAATGAGTGGATCCTCATTCTCACAGAACTGGGTTAGTCACTGCAAGAGCAGGTTGATATAAAGCAAAGTTAACCCTTGAGTTGTATCCCATCCACGTGTGTCCATCTTCTTGGTTTGCCATTCTCTGTCATGAATGGACACAGCACAAGGCCCTCGCATTGCTTCCAAACCAACTTGAATCTCCAAGACTCTAGAACCATGAGCCAAAGAAAACTTTCTTTTATAAGTTTTCCTATCTCAGAACAGAAAATGGATAATATGTTTATACCAGGGCTGGATTAGTTATTGCAAAAACAGGCAGGTATAACTCAAGGTAGCCCTGGTGTTTTTGTTGCCTTTACTCTTGCCTACTTGTCTTTCAACTTTTCTATCATATTTGATCCAACATGAAACCTTTACCACATATGGCCACTTGATCTTGCACTCCCAGCTTCCAGAACCATAAGCTAAATCAATCTCTTTCCTTTATAAATTAGCCAGTATTAAGTATTTTGTTACAGCAACAGAAACAGACTAAGACAGTTGCCATACTTTACCAAGAATGAGGCTCAATGCAAAAATACTTCCCCTGTTTTTTTTTTTTTATTCATTCCCCATAGAAACTTTTTGAAATCATTATGTTTTCCACTTGAGGATAAAAACATGAAAATTCTAGCAGATCAATTAATCTGTCCAAAGCTACATAACTGGGAGGTAGGTATCCAATAAAGTAAGAGGAGTGGAATCTGGAGTCTGCATGCCTGGTTTAGATCTCTGAATGACCTCCTGTCACATAAGAGATTACCATAGACTTAAAGTCTTGAAACAATATTTACCTTCTTCTTGACAATGAGTTAGGGCTCTTATGATATTTTATAAGCCTACAAAAATATAGGGCAGGGATGGGATGTCCTCTGAAAATTTAACTGAGAAAGTTTTGATTTCAAATCCATGTGGTTCTTGACAATATTTCATCCACAAGGGTCTTTAGAGTGGCAGCCTTTGTTGGTGGTTGGTTGTGGTCCAGCCTTCAGTTCTTGGTCACATGAACCTCTCCAACATGATGACTTGCTTTTTCAAAGCCAGCAAAAAAAAAAAAAAAAAAGACAACACACTAGGAAGATGCAAGTTACACCCTGAAGGAGAAACAGCATGGGCCCTCCACAATCAAGGGAAGGGAATCTCACAAGTGTGGACACCAGGAGGAGGGACCACTGATCCAAAGACATCATCTTCAACTCTCTGCACCACAGATCCTCGCTATACCACACCCTAACTCAATTTCTGTATCTCACTCAGTTTCGCATTTGTGACATGACCCCACCTCTATAAACCAACCTGATAAAATTGTTATGAGGACGAGACGCTGTCATATTTATGAAGAGCTTCCACCAATGCCTAGCACCCAGTAAACATCACACACTGTGCTGTTAAACTAATAAATACCAGCACTTGAGTTCAAACGCAGATATGCCTGGCTTTAAAGGCTGTGTTCTGGATCGTGACACTATTGAAGAAATATTCGAAGAATATAAACAAAATAAAATAAATTATTATATGATTATCCCCAACCAAAATCCCAGCTTCCAAATTAACCTATTTTAATGGATTTCAAGAAACCGACTCTTGAAATCAGTAGTACAATTATCCGAACTATCCTGAGGGAAAGGAGAAAAGAAAGAAGGAAGAAAGGGGAAAAATACAGACACAGATCTTTTATCCTTCACAAAAATTAACTCAAATGGATCCCAGACCTAAGCATAGAATACAGAATTATTCAACTCCTAAAGATAACAAGAGATAAATTTTGGTGACCTGGGATATAATGTTGAAATTACAGATAAAATACACAAAGTATGAATCATGAGAGAAATTGGTAAATCAGAATTCATCAAAGTTAGAAACTTCTGCTTTGTGAAAGATAATGTTAAGAAAATGAGAAGACAAGTTATACGTGACAGAAAATCTTTGGCAGCAATGGACCCAATAAAGGACTGGTACCCACAACTTACCAAGAACTCTTAAAAACTCAACAATAGAAAAACAACCCAAATTTTTAGTATATGTGCTAGAAAAACAAACACAAAAATTCAGTTTTTTTTTAAACAATTATTTTATTTTTTAATTTTTTAATGGAAGGGTCTACAGGGTGTTCAGGGTCTCACTACTAGATTGGACCCATAGTGATCTGCCTGTTTACAGCCTCCCAAAAGCTGGGATTATAGACACATGCCACCATGGCCAGAGCCCCAGGGGCGGGGCCGGCACGGCAGGCCAGGGGATCCAACCTCCAGCCCCTGCGCCTGCTTCCAGGTGCTTTAATCCACTGAGCTATTTGACCAGACCCAACAATCCCAGATTTTTGAGATGCAGAATATCTAAACAGACACTTCACCAAAGAAAGTGTGCAGATGACAAGTGAGCATAAAACATTATGCCACACAATTAGAGAATTATAAATTAGCACGCTGACAAGAGACCACCGCACACCTACTAGAATGGCTAAAACCCAAGACACCACCCACACCAAATGCTGGCGAGGATGTGAAATGGCAGCGTATGCCTACTGATTGTTGGTGGGGCTGCGGAGACAGCCACCTTGGGAGAAAGCGGGGTGATTTCTTTGTGAAACTAAACAAACTCTCACTTTAGACTCTGGAATTCAGGTTTTGGTATTTATGCCAACAACTTGAGAGTCATGTTCACAAAAATACCTGCACATGCATGTTGATGGCAGTTTTATTTTTAATTGCTAAAACTTGGAAGAAACCAGGAGATTGGATAAACAAGCTGTGGTATAGTCACACAATAAAATGTTTTTCAGCACTGGAAAGAAATGTGTTAGCAAGCCATGAAAAGAGGTGAAGGATTCTTACCTGGCGAAGGAGATAGCACGGTCACCAAGGGGGCTTTCCCAGGGTGAGGCTTGTCCATTGCATCCCAGATGGGCTGACCCCTGTGATTTCCCCAAATGTGGGAAACTCGACTGCGAAATTTGTGGTAATGGGCGACTGCGTTCACGCCCTCCCCTTTGAAAAAAGAAAAAAAAAGATGTGAAGGAACCTTAAGTGCATATTGTGAAGTGAAACAAAATAATCTGAAAGAGCTCCAGGGTTGTATGTTCCCTGATTCCCACTATAAGACATTCTGGAAAAATTTAAACTAAGGAGACAGTAAAAAGTACAGAGATTGCCACAGCGCTGTGAAAGGGCAGGAAGGATGAAATAGAGGGAATGTTAAGACAGTGAAGGCATTCTGTACAAAACTGTACTGGTGGACGCATCTCATTACATATTTGTCAAGACCCATACAATGTCTAATAGAAAGAGTGAACCTAAATGTAAACTGTTTAGCTCATAATAATATAGCAACACTGATTCATCAATTGTAACAAATGCACCATGTTAATGAAAGATGTTAATAAATAGGAAAATTGTAATGAGGAATGTACTCATCATACACTGAAAAAGTACTAATAAGAAAGAAAAATTGAAAAACAGAATTGGGAAAACTATAGAAGGATGAGGGAAATTTACTTTCTACTCTAACTCCTTTTTTTGCGGGGGTGTGGGGAAGGTCTGCAGGGTGTTCAGGGACTCACTACTAGATCAAACTCATAGTGATTCTCCTGTTTACAGCCTCCCAAGTGCTGGGATTACAGGGTGTGCCACCACAGCCAGTCTCAATTGCCTTCTCAGTGAGCCCCAGGGGTGGGGCTTGCAGCGCAGGCCAGGGGATCAAGCCCCTGGCCCCTGCGCCTGCTTGCAGGTGCTTTAATCCACTGAGCTATTTGGCCTGCCCTTCTACTCTCACTTCCGTAAACATAAAACTTCTCAAAAGTGTCTATCTAGAGAGACAATCTAGTATATAACCTCTAACAATAATTAATATGCTAATTTCAAAATAATATAACAAATATATATGGCAATAGAGATGGTTTTCAAAAACCACTATGCAGTTGTTAAACTTCCAGCCTTGTTTCCACACACCTACACTTATGTGTTTAATTTAATGAGCATCTTGTCACAAGGTCATGCACATTATAAGGGTTTAAATACAAATGCTCCAATTTACCTCCAGAAAGGCATCAACATCCACCACCTACAGAAACTCCAGCTGCTCTGTTCCCTGCCCCCTGACTAATGCTGAACCTCCAGCCAGGTTCACAGGCAACCGTGTGGCTTATGTTTGTGTCACTTTCCGCAGCAGGCAAGAAGGTGGTTAGGGATATGCTTGCAGCTGCCCACGGTACCTAGCTGTGTAGGGAAAAGGGAGGTGGAGCTCACCTTGGCTGCAGCTTCTGAGCCCCAGGTCTGGTTGTCCCTGCAGAATTCAGCTGCACAGAATCTAAGGAGCAAGAGGACCTTACAGCAGAATAAGGCCTGGCTTTTTGCTTGGAAAAGATTTGGTAATAAACTGTTTGCAACCTTATCACCTCAACTGCTATACCTCCATACCTGCTCCAAATTATGACTGTCTTGGGACAATATCAAAGTTAATTTTTCAGAGCTTCACACACAGTTCCACTCCCAAATTGATACAGCCGGAGCTTAAGAGAGAAAACTGGGCATGAGAATGAAGTTTTGGGATTGCAGGTCAAAGTGTACATAATCATTCATGAATAATCTTCCCCTAACATGTGTCAGAGCCTGAAATCAGTGATTGAAACTATAGGTTGCATTGCTGACATCCAAATGCACCCAGTACTGAGTAGTTGCGTCACCTGGAACAAGCTATGTACCCTCTCTGAGCCTCAGTATCTTCATTTGTATGATGAGCATAATACTGCTCACCTCTTAGGGTTCTTGGGGGGATGGAATGAGATGATCCATGTGACGAGTTTAGCACATCAAGCTTTCCATAAACAGAAGTCATTCTGAATATTCAAAGTTTATCAAAGACCACCCCATAGAATCCACCCTTCCTAGTTGTCTTGCCCTTGGGATCCAGAACCCCTGGAAAAGAAATGTCTTACACACTGAGATGCTGCTCCTGTGTAGAAGTTCCATCTTCAGCGGTTCCAGATAATGCTGTCTTCTGAAACACTAGAGGTTGCCTTGAAGGACATGAAACACTCACACCACAACCTCTTTCACTTTCTTGGTTTTTCTCTGCCCCTGGAAGAACCCAGTGAAATACTGGGCATATGTAGTCATTGTCTCCTACAGTATCTCTCTAACAGGAACATTATTTAAGACCTGGGTCAGTACAGCACAAAATGTAATGACGCAATCAATATTGTGACATGGTTTGTCAGAAAGCTGGGAGGCACATAGTTGCCAATGATGGCTTTCATTTGTTGGCTTGCTCCTTTGGACCCTGAAGAGCCAGTCCTGAAGAATGAGAACCAGGACCTTTCTGTTTCCTGGATGAGACATCTAGTCACCAACTAAGTAAATTCCCCAGACCTTCATTTGGGCTCATCTGTCCAAAATGAAGCCCAGCTCTTCACATTCTCTGATGACCTTTTAGGTAGTCCTCCCTCCCCATTTATACATACTGGGGTCCCCCAGCTGGAGAATTAGCCTTAGTCAGGTCTTTCTAACTTTTCTCTCCTCTTCCACTGACTCCTTTCTCCCTAATGCATAGCATGATACCACTAGCTGACACTGTGATGTATTGGTGATTCTCTCTTGAAGAACGAAGGGCCTATTTTCTCAGCTGCTGTGGAGTTGAATTATCCAAGGTCATATTCCAAGACAGCTTGTTCATTGGGAGTGGATTAAAGCCTCAAGCCTTTTTCTCCCAATGTGGGAAGCTCTGAAGGCCCATTCTATAGTGTCCTCTCATCTCTTCAGCAGTGCAAAGGCCCTGACAACATCTGTAAAGAAGCAAAAAAATAATACAGTGTGGCTGGAGGGAGTAATCAAGGAGGGTAGTGGTAGAACATGAAGTTAGAAGTAGACCATGTGATTGTTTTAGAGTTTTGTGCAAGGAATTAAATGTCTCAGCAGCACTGCTATTTTAGACTGATTGGAGCAAGAGTGTAGTAGAAAACTGACATTAACCCAGCTGAGAAAGTGTAGTGGCTTAGATCAGGTCCAAGTCATGCATCCACAATCTTCTAACAAAATCAGCTCTCAGTTTCTTTCACAGTGATGAAAGAACACATAGTCCTTCTACTGGGGACTACATTTCCCAGACCCCTTTGGGGGCAAAGTAGAACCATGTGATTAAGTTCAGACCAAAGAAATGTAAGCAAAAATGATACATTCCACATTAATTCAGTAGCTTAAAATAAAATCATTCACATTATTTTTCTCATTGCTCAGTTATGAAAAGACACAAATATGAGCCTAGATGTTTACAGGTAAATATGGAAATACAGACAATACTACAGAAGGATACTGAGTCTCAAGAGGAAGGTGTAAAGCCTAGTTTTACTGGACTAATCACTTCCAAACTATTTTGTGAATAAGAAATAAACTCCTGTCTTCTTTAATCCACTGTACTTAGGGGTCCTTTGTTACAGCAGCTTAACCTTTGCCTGAACTAATACACAGACTTCTGGCAGACTTAGCAATATCAGAAGTGAACTACAGCATGATGTGGAATAGGAAACAGCCTAAAATGTAATACCATCTTCATCCTTAAAGCTCCTTAACCAAACTCCATAGGGAACTTCCAGATTACCCTTTTAGGTCCCTACCTGATACCTAAGCTTTTGATACATCCCCACTTCCTTCATCACAACTTCCCAGTGCCTGTGGACATCCAGAAAATTTTTATTTCATTTTATTTCAAAAATGAAAATTTTCCCCATCTCTATCACAGAAAACCTCTAGGAATTTCTTCGGCAGTACTCCAAAAGATAGCTAGTGCATTCTCAGAAAAGAAAGATACATCTAGCCCAGAGTACCATCTTAACACAAAGCATCAGCAGAACCATTGAAATCACAGTGTTTTTCAGTATTTCTCCCTTTCTTAAAAAATATTCTCAATAAGTAGAAATGAAGAGCTGAGCTGATGTTGCAGGGGAAAATACATATTCCTCTAGCATGAGCAAATATTTTTATCTGCTCCTGGGGCTTTAGATTTTTTCTCTCATTTACTTAGACAAGGATATTGACACAATGGGAACTCCCAGTACTCATCCACAAGGTTCTTTCTCACATGTATGTACTTGGTTCATACTGAAACACAGTCAGCTCATGATCTTGTGTGGCATGTTCTTCACCCCAGTTGTTTATGGCAAGCACTATATATTTCAGAAGATTGTGGACATCCCAGAGATAGTCAGCCTATCTGACTGTTGGAAGACCCTTGGTTGGCCTTTCTTTTCTTTGCTGCCTTTTAAGCCCAGCCTCCATCAACACTTCCCTGATCACTGGCTCTGTGATCTTGACACTCACTAATTCTTTGGATTTCTCACCAAAATTCATAGTGGAAATGTTTTGCAACCTCATCTCTTCCCTGTTTTATGACCTATTATATTTATTAATAACAGCATGAAGCAGGATATAAAGTTTCAGAAACAAGGCACCCAGAAACTGAGCCCATGCATGGCAGTCAGGCTTTTCAGATGTGTGAAGAAGGGCCGTATTTTCCCCCGAATAAGACAAGATGTAGACTAGGGATGACTATCTCTGGGATGTCCACAATCTTCTGAAATTTATAGTGCTTGCCATAAACAACTGGGGTGAAGAACATGCCACAAGATCATGAAGAATGTCCTCAAAGCCTAGACTAGAGCTAATCTTTCTACCGCCTTCCTCTCTGGGGTGTGAGGAAATGCAATGAAATTAGTAGGGGAACTCTGTTTTGTGTGTGTGTCTGTATAGATAGATGTGTGTGCATATTGTGTGTTGACTAGTGAGTTGTGTGTGTGTGTGTGTGTGTGTATGTACAAGCAAGAGCTGTACAAGTGGGTTAAAGTCAGTGTGTGTGGATATCTGTCTCTGTCTCTATCTCTCTGTTTCTGTCTCCTGTCTCTGTCTCTCTATCTCTGTGTCTGTCTGTCTGTCTGTCTGTCTCTCTGTCTCTCTGTCTCTCTCTCTCTCCTGTCTCTCTGTCTCCTCACCCTTCTTACATG